ATACTTCCTTGTCCTCATGTACACTGGGTTAATAGCAATAAAGTACTCCTAAATTTGTGACAAAGTTACATCCTGATTAAACCATAATAAGTTGAAAAGATGTTAAGTTTAAAATGTATTTAAGGCCAGGCACGGTGGCCCATGACTGTAATCCCAGTGGCTTGAGAGACTGAGGCAGGAGGATTGCAAGTTCAAAGCCTGCCTCAGCAACTTAGCAAGGCCCTAAGCAACCGAGTGAGACCCTGTCTCTAAATAAAATATAAAAAAGGGCTGGGGATGTGGCTCGCCCTTGGGTTCAATCTCTGGTAGAAAAAAAAAAAAAGGAAAAGAAAGAAAATGCATTTAATACAGCTAATCTACTGCATCTCATGACCTAGCAACATAGCACACTGGTCCATGGCTGACTAGGAGTTGTGTCTCCTGACACTGCTCAGCATCACCAGAGTATCCTGCAGCAGATCTCAAACCCCCAAAAAAGATCATCAGAAAGTTGAAAAATCGTCTTGTCAAACCATTCTAAGTCAGGAACAGTCTGTATGTGGGAAAAGTTTAATAAGATGGAGCAAGTGGGGAAAAGGGTAGACACAAAGTGGATAATTTAGATAGAGCCAGAGGAGGGGCGTGTTGGGAAATGGGCAGGACCTGAATCATGCCAGTGGTACATGTACCCAGCTATGTTCCACTTCCCGTATGACAGACTATAAGAGACGTTTTACCTCACTAAGAGTACAGAAAAGATGAGGGAACACAAGGAGAAGGAAGATGGAAATACTTTCAGGATTTAAGCTTGAAAAGCCAAATAGCAGGGATTCTTCAGTGAGCCAGCAGATTAACAAAGGAAACTATTTGCATGAAATGACAAAATTGTTTTCTGTCATCTGATTCAAGCCTGTCACTGGCTCACTACTTTAAAAACCAGTGCCTTCCCCCAAAGAGTTGGCTGTGAGAAAAAAAACAAAAAACAACTTGCTCTGAAAAAGGATAACAATTGCCTCCCTCACTCCACATCCACAGTCTGTCCCTGACCATCTCCTTCTTGCTGCCAGTTTTACTATGAGGATTTCCTTTGAGTTGTCCTTCTTCCAGTAAACTTGCAATAAAAGTTACATTATTATTATTATTATTATTATTCCATACAATGCAACTTGTAATGTTCCAATCAAGTTAGGATCCAATATACAAACTACAAGCTGATGCACTATAGTTTTCACCAACAGTTCTATCTGTTCTTGGGATAAACCACCTTGATTACCACTGAATCCAACTGGAAAAGAGAGCCAAAATTACAACTTGGGGGATTGGGGTTGTGGCTCAGTGGTAATGTGCTTGCCTAGCATGCAAGGGTTCGATTCTCATGAACCTCATGAACATGAGGCACTGGGTTCGATTCTTAGCACCACATACAAATAAATAAAATAAAGGTCCATCAAAACTAAAAAATATTTTAAAAAAATTACAACTTGTTCTAAGTACAGGATTACCTCTGAAGCAGGGATACATTTCTCCTCTGTAAGATACAGGATTGTCATTAATTATTTTTCAAAGATATCTACTGCCTCACAACAACTTCCAAAAGGTTGTCAGAAGTCGCATGTGGCATCCATTGTCCTCTGTTTCCTTCTCTCTGCCATCCCTTTCAGAACCACAAGGGTTTGCTTTCCTCTCCTTGTTCAAGTATATGTGGTGGGCATTTTCAAACTCAGGTGTGGTAATCTTACCCCTTACAATCCATAATTTCTCTAAACCATAGTCTCCTGGTCTATAAACAAAGACCTTAATAGCAACTTGGCAGAGCTACTATGAGAAAAAATAAATAGAAGGTAGTTTATATTAGTAGGACAAGAACAGGATGAGATTGCATTGGTCTCCCCTAAGAAACTTCATATGGTAGGGCCCAGGCTCTGCCTAATAGCAGAGAAGACAAAGCCAGAATATTCCACAAAGAGCAACAGGGTATCCATGGTCCATTTTCTGGAGTAGAAGTATATTCCCGAGCCTGCAAAATAGTATCCAGATAAATTTTCCCAAACATCTTATTAACTTGGTCAAAAATCCTTCAATGACTCCACAAGGCCCATTAAATACAATCTGAGTCCTGGCCACCATAATGCACCTTCATCCCACCTTTCCAACCCCTTCTCCCACTGATTCCTGCCACCTTCTGACGCAATCAAAGTTCATAACCTCACATACTTGAAAACTAGCTTATACAAAGTTTTTTTGTTTTTTGTTTTTGGTGCTGCAGATTGAACCCAGGGCCTTGTGCTTGTAAGACAAGCACTCTACCAACTGATCTATACCCCCAGCCCTCTGTATAAAGTTCTTAAAGCAAGAATCCCATCTTGCACATCTTTGAACCTTCCAGACTGTCAAGCACAACACCTTACACATAATAATATGTAGTCATTATTTATTGATAACAAACTGGGTGAATCCCTCCTTGGAGATCTCACTTGGGACAGGGCACAGGGGGAAAAGACAGAGGACATTAACTACAAGTTGAAATGGATAAACTTATTAAGAACAAGAGATAAATAAGGGAAACAAAATTACTGAAAAAAGCATGCAAGCTGAAAGAGAATCATTTTACTATATTGGAGACATTTTCCAGGGAAATCAAGCTAAGTATGTTAACAAACTTTTGACTTAGATTTATTCAATATTTCATTCAAAAAACCTTGCCGAGCCAAGCACCATAAAAAGCATCATGTGCCAAGCATTAAGAAGAGCTCTGTGGAGAACACAGAGAATGAAGACATGATCTCTGCTCTCAAAGAGCTTACGCTGCAATGATGGAGGCAGGCACGGCAACACAAAGACAAGACGTGGGCATTTAACACAGCTGGTCTTTGGTTCAATCTCTATATCTGACTCACCTCCATCATTTGGTTCACCTCATTTGGTTCACCTCGCAGTCATGTGACCCTGCATTTTAGAGAGGTGAACTGTTTGGAAGGCTGTTGAAGTTTTATTCTATTATGTAAAAGACCTAGAGAAAGGAAAGTCTCTGGAAGGCTTCAAAGAAGAAGGGGCATCTGAATTGAGGGATGAGGGATCCTCAGGAGCAACATTCTGAACAAAAGGAAGAGAAACAACAAGAATAAAAGGGGGAGATTTAAAGGAGACTTTGAACCATTATTAATAATGAGAAACTGTGCTACAGGGAAAATGGAGGGATGTGGTAGAGAAACAGATGGAAGGCTTGAGTGAGTCTGGCTAATTAACAGAGAGTCAACTGTCCTTGCACCTTGGGAAAGGTCCCTGTTGTTTGACTGGGTAGATACCCAATACATCCAAGTGGATCCAAACAAGACTGATATGCCTCCCACCTCCCACAGCATGTCTGGTCCTCAGCCCTCATTAGAAAACAGCTCAGGATGTTTGTGATGCTAATAGCCAGGTCTGCCTCTGGATGGAAAATAACACATGGAGAACTAAAGCAACCATTGCAATTGAATGCCACCAACATTTATGGAGCACTGCACACACAGAGGTCACTCTGTGGGGCCAAATGCTACCCTGCACTCTCAAACTCATCATTGGTTCAAAAAGGCAGTTACTTACAATGGAGTGTAGAGTGTGGTACATTGAAACAAACCCCAGAACTCTCTGGGACTTTTGAATAAGACCTTCACACCTGATTCCTAAAGGAATGTGAAGAGTCCAGAAAACATCTAATACATGGTTCTCATTGCAGCCAGTCAACCCCTGGTTGTGAGGAGGGCTCCACACCCATGGCGGCACCACCTCCATCTCGGTCTTACTTGGGGAAGCAGACCTCAAGAAGCCTCAACGTGGCCCAGCCAACACCTGGACTTCCTCCAGTCTTCCAGGTCCCTCTGGTTTAGGCTTGGAATTAAACTGTGTGGGCTGGGGGTGGGGCAGGGTTATGGCTCATTGGTAGATCTCACCTGCCTCAGGCCCTGGGTGGATTGTCAGCACCTCAAAATAAATAAAAGACACAGGGTTTCCCAGCGGTTATCTTTAAAAAAGTAGAGGAGAAGAAAATATTCACCAGGCCCTTCCACAGCCTTCCATAGGGCTGAAAGTCGAAAAGAGCACCTTTGCTGGAGAATCCTAAAATCCTCCACCCTGCTACATTCTCTTGGTTCTCTAACCTGGGTTTCTTATCCAAATTACTGATCTTTCCCCTCTTCACTTACTATAAACCTATCCATAATCACTTCGTCGTCCCCTTTATAAATCAAATCAAAACAAAGAAAATCCAAAAAAAGTGCTTTTGTACCAGGGAATGACTTACTGTTTGAAACTTTCCCAGGTGGAACTCAGTGGTAGAGAGCTTACCTAGCAGTGTGAGGCTCTGGGCTCCATCCCAGTGGGAGGGAGGGAGGGGAGGGGAGGACAGGGTGGGGGCCAAGCTGAGCCAAGCCAGGCCAGGCCTGGTTATTATCAAAAGCACAATCCGATCCTTTCAGCAATGCCCATCCTGTCAATGGACTCCAAATGCACACCCCCTTACACATCCTCTTACACACTGCAGGTGCACAGCTGTGACAAACACAGCTGCTAACAGTCATTATCTATCATTTTCTGAAATGTAAAGGGGGAAAATGTTCCAAATGCTCAGTAACCTTCCCCAAATACACCTTGCTTTATCCCCAGAACAAAACCTTTCCTTCCTGGGAAACAGGAACACAAGCCCTCAATCAGGTACAGGAAGCCACCCGAGGTGGGCCCTGACACTCCCCGCTGATCTATTTGTTCCAGCTACACCAGGGAGTGCTCCAGGAACCAGCAGCTTAAGGAATTTTGGACCTTTTTGCTTTTTGCTGTTCTTTCAACCAAAAATGGCCTGCTCTCCCATACCACACCAGCTGCCTCTGCCTCCCTCCATCCAGAAGCCAGTGGTGAAGCGCACCCCAATTTCCCCTGGTCCATGAGATGGGCCCTCCTCTGCCCTCCCTCCCTCAGCCTTTTGCTGGCTGTGTTTCTCTGAAGCCTGGATTTCCTTATTTTTGTTACTGCAGCTGGTTGTTTACCTGCTTGCCTCACTAAATAAACTTCGAGCTCTTTGAGAAGGAGGATTGGAAATTTTCAACTTCACGTCTTCACAGACCAGTGCTTCACACACAGCTGTTCAAAAACGTCTGTTGAAGGAATTAATTCATCTGAGTATTTAAAGTATTTGTTTGCAGAAGAGTCTTCAATTTAATTTCCTTGATATCATTTGTTTTCACAGTACTTACAGCCAATTTTAAGGACTTTTTAAAACCTCTGTCCCAAACGTTAAGGGAATAAAAATTTTGCAACTCCTCTTACTACACTGCCTTATGTCATAGAGATATTATGTATCTTTKTCCCAAATATTAACAACTCATTGTCGAATTCCAGATATTACCTTGCCAGGCTGTGTTGTTCAATAAAGACCAACTTTTCAGAACAACTACATGAAACGAAAACTTTTGAGCAGCACATCAAAGTAAGCCAACAATAAATTTCCTACCATACAAGTTATGTTGCCCTCAATTTCTTCATCTACTGTGTTTCTTGTCAGGATAAAGAGTTTCCGTTCTGCTGATAATTCACAATAAATACACAAATGCTTTTAATAATTTTACTTAACATATCTGTTATTACAGTAATAAATGGCTCCCATCCATTCAAGTAGTACTGAACCATGACTGAGAGGATTGTGTTGAACTTCCTAAGCCCCTGATTGTTATTCTGAGGCTGCCCTGCTCACCTTTACCCTGAGACACCACAGAAGCAAGGAGCCCCTGAGGGTCTCTCTCAGGAGTCCCTAGACACAGAGCTTCCCCTACAAGTAGCTGCTATAATTAATTCTCTTCCATATACAAAGCTCTGCTGTTCTTCCTCTCACCAGAAATATCAGGATTCAAAATAAAAATTATTTACGAYGCTTAGTAAATAAGTTAGTTCAACAGTACTAAGAACTTAATCTGGCCACAAAACCCCAGGCAGTTTACTTGATTTCAGCAGGGCAAACTGTAATCGCTAAGGGAACTTCAATTTTAGCATTCTATGAGAAGGCTGGGTGCTCTTATCTGATTTTCCATTTACCAGTGCACTCTGATTCACCTCATTCCAGCATAACTTAATTCCTCAACCTGTGTTTTATCAGCCTCACAAYGTCAAAATTCAAATTTTGAAAATGATGAAACTGTGACACATTSTACACATACTATAACGAGGGAGAATCTTGGTTAGTTTTTCAGGCCATGCTAAAATGTTCTTTTGGAAACCACAAAAAGAATGACTCGATCCAATAGTTCAACAACCAGAAAAACAAACAATTCAAAAATAGCTGAAGGACTCAAATAGATATTTCTCCTCATGAAAAGATGCTGTACGTCATTAGTTACTAGGGAAATGCCAATCAAACCATAATGAGAAACCCTTCAGAGCCATTAGGATTGCTCTTATAAAAAAAAAAATTAAAAAAAGAAAGAAAGAAAATAACAAATGTTTGGTAAAGATGAAGAAACTGAAATCCATGTCATTGCTGGTGGGGATGTAAAATGGTACAGCCACTAGGGAAAACACTTGTGGTGGTTTTTCAAAATGTTAAACATAGAATTACCACAGGACCCAGCAATTCCACTGAGTTGAAAGAATTGCAAGCAGGGACTCCAACATTCCACACCAATGTTCATAGTAAAATTATTCACAACAGCCAGAAGGTAATAGCAACCCTGGATGAATAGATGAACAAATACAGGGACATTATTCAGTCTTAAAAAGGAATGAAGTTGTGACACATGCTAGGACACAGACGAACCTGGAAAACATTCTGCTAAGTGAAATAAGTCAGACACAAAGGGACACATGCTGTATGATCCACTTCTGTGAGGTACCTACAATAGTCAAATTCACTCAGCCAGAAATAGAAAGGGGGTTGCCAAGGGCTGAATGAAGCTGAGCTACTATACAATGTGAAGAGAGGTTTTGGTTAAGATGATGACAAAGGTCTGGAAACAGATGGTGGTGACAGTTTCAGAACACTGCAAATGTACTTAACACACTGAATTGTACACTTAAAGATGATTATTATGTAAGTTTTATGTTATGTAAATGTTACCACAATAAAAAAAAAAGAAGGACCCCACATGCATTTATGAATTCACTGCTTGCTGTCACTGCTTCTTTCAGTCCTCTATGGACGATAACTATTGTTTAATTCAGGTGACTTGAAGTATATAGCTACAGAGACACAGGTACCTGCCACAGTGAGGATGCGTTTTTAAAACTAACTAAGGGCCAGTTTGCCCTTCATGGTGGTGTCTTCTCAGCCTCCACTGATCATGCAAAAAAAACAGGACTTCCCAGCTCCCTCCTCCAGGGAGGAATTTAGGGCAGAAGTATTTATTAAGCAGCAGGGCTAGTGACAGTGTCTACCTGATGGGAGAGGGAACTTGGTGATGAAGATAATTATCCAGACTTAGCCACACCAGTTTTCCTCAATGACAAAAGACACATCAGTTCTGCAGTTCTGTGTACCAAACTGAATGTGGAAGAACTGTGGGAAAACACCAATGAAATATGTTGTTTTATGCCTATTTTACAATGTACCAAGAATCTGTGTTTTCAAAAATATATTATTATCCTAGGTCAAAAACCTGTCACATTTGCACTGTGGCTTCTTCCCCCACAGTCTGAGACAACTTGCTGCAGCCCATGGAGAGGGACTCTGAAGGGGATTCACAGAATATTAACGGTCCCTGCTTGAGCTCTCTCTTAGTTGCCTAGTGGCTTGATTCTGTTTTCTCTATCTGAATAATGTAGGTCCTTAACTGTGAAGGATGGAGATCGTCCACGGGCTAACTCAACTCCACACTGATTATTTTTCTTCTTGTCTACCTTCCTCTCCATACAGTTAGCAATGAAGAAAGACCCACTGAAAAAGTGCTGCATGATCAGAATAGCTTTTTCAGTGGAGCACCCTCTTCTACCCACCTCCCAAATTGTCACCTGACCTTCAAGAATGACAAAGCCATGATGCATTCAAAGCACCTGTAAGAGAAGCAAATCCTCTCCTATGATATTGTCAATTTACCCTGAATTCACACATTAGCAGTAAGATCCCATGCCCAAAAACAGAGGGAGAGGTTCATCTTCGTTCACTCCGGGGGGCCTCCCTTGCAGGCCAAGTTCCCACCTTCATTAGCACTATTGCGAGTCCCTGGGAGTCCCAGAACCTACCACATCCCAAGCACATCCTCTGAGTCTCACATATGACTCCTCTACCCCTGTTCCTCCTTCCTATTAAGTTCCTTACCTTTAAAGGTAAACTAAACACTCCATGAGAGTTAAAATTTTCCCATATGAACAAAATCCCAGCATCCTAAGAAAGAATCAACAAGGACTTGCCTTTAGGATTATTATTTTAAAGTGAGATTATACTTTTCTGTTCTTCTGTCAGTTGCAAATCCCTAAACCTACTARAATTCACTTAAAACTAATCTACTGTGTTTTTATTGGAAGAAAGCAATCAGGAAAGCTCTGACCCACTGAGCAGCTGGGAATTTCGTTGCTGCAGGTTTGGTTTAGTCTTTATTTTTCTAGCTGCTGGCCCTGCTAACATGATTCCGTGAAGGTCGCATTTAATCTTGCAGAGGAAAGCTACCTAAGCAGTTCTTAGGTAGGCTTCAGTAAAAATAAATTGCCTTGGCTCTATGGATAAATCTGTTGCTTCAACCCAACCATTATAGTCAAGGAGAACAAATGAAAGGAACTGTAAAATATGGCGTTTGATTTCAAAGGAATTGCACTGCATATAGATTATGGGCTCAAAGTGTTTGCTAATAACAATAACTAAATCACTGTTAATAAAGAAGCCATGAAGAAATTAGCAGCTCTCAAATATGTATTTCCAGTCTGTCACCAAATATTTATTTGTACCTGAGGCATCAGTATCACCATTGGGACTAAAAAGTCAGAGGAATGGACTAGTAAAATTATTTTAAAGACCTGGGTACACAGGAGAAAAGTCAAACAATTTTTCTCCTTCTGGGTGCTGAACCCTTATAAAATGACAAATCCTAATGCAAAGCAACAAATCTCAATGTTCATGCGCTTAATACATATTCCATTAGGTTTCTAACACAAAGCAGATCTGTGTCACCCCTCCTGAGCTGGAATTCTGCCTTCCAAACGAACCTTTGCTTTACAACTGAAAATCGAAGCAACAAATATTTATCCAGCTCTTACTGGGTATCAAGCGCTGGTGTGGGATGCAAAGAAAGATGACTCAGCTCCAGGCTCTCAAATCACTGGCCATGTAGGTGGCAGAAATGGAAATCTCTAAGAAATCAAAGGTTTCCACAACAGACCAAGAGGCTAGGAAACATGAATAGATTATACAACGTGCTGCTTCTATAGGAATTCCAAGCATTTTATTGTTTTAGGCTAAAAACATCAGGTAAGATTTTGTAGGGAGGGGCAAAGGAGACCCATGCAGTTATAACTAGAACAACCACTAACTGAATCCCCTAGATTTCTCACCACATCTTACTTCATTTGCTAATCCTACACCATTCACTAGGGTAGCCACTGGCCACATGTGTCTACTGAACACTTGAAGAGAAGCTAAGCTGAATTAAGACATGCAGCAGGTGAAAGACACATTGGATATTAAAGATTCATATTATGGAAAAAAGAATGTAAAATATCTCATTTGCATTTTTACATTAATGACATTGAAATGACAATGTTTGGATACAATGGGATTACTATTAAAATTAATTTTGCCTGCCTTCTCACTCTTCTAGATATTTGTGTGGCTTGCGTTGTACCCTTATTGGCCAGTGTTACCCTGATCAATTCTTTTCTTTTGGCTGTGCTTTCTGCGTTCAGTCTCTGAACTCATAACGGTTCCACCCAACCTTAGTTTCACAACAATCCAAAAATATCTCATATTCATAAAGGGAGTGAAAGTGTTCTAATTTTTTTTTTCAGATCACAATGAGGCATTTGACTCTTCTTCAGTTGTGGGAAGTCAGAGTTCACAATCTGATTAAGTCTTCCTAAGAGGACCTGTAAAGGTGGGTGTTGGGCGGGGGGAATGCCCTAGCCTCCTGCAACATGGGAACAGACACAATATAAAACAGGGAAGGTAGAGGATGCAGAA